TAATAATAATTTCAAAAACCTATATAATATACAAGTTCAGACACACTCACGAAAAACATCTTTACGATATCTTGATGATAAAACGCTATTCCGTCCAACAACGTCTCGAGTTTCTCAAGTCGTTTAGACGGTTATTTGTATTCGTATTGAAATAAATTTTAATAGGTAACGGAACCGGAAGTTTCGACCAATAATTACTATCAATACGTCGCTTTGAAAAATGACTAGTATAATATACAAAGTAGCGCAGAATCTTTCTTTCTTTTTTTTTTTTTGTTTTTTTAAGACGATAACAGTAATTTATGTTGTTTTTTCTTCACAGGTAATATTCACCTTTGCTTCCGCACTCCTGGTGGACAAGGCCGGTCGTCGCGTGCTGCTTTTGATCTCCGACTCCGTGATGGCCGTCTGTCTAGCCGGCCTGGGATACTTTTTCTTTTTGAAACACAACGGCGTGAGCGCGCTGAACTTTATACCGCTGGTCAGTCTGGGGGTGTACATCAGCACGTTCTCGCTCGGGTTCGGTCCCATCCCGGGGGTGATGATGGGCGAACTGTTCAGCCCCGACGTCAAAGGGCTGGCACTGGGTATCGTGTGCGTGATCGCCTCGCTGCTGGAGTTCGTCGTCGTCAAGATGTACCAGAACCTGTTGAACTGGTTCGGGTACGCCGTCACGTTTTGGATATTCGCCGGGTTCTGCGTGCTGGGCACGGTGTTCGTGTGGTTCCTGGTGCCGGAGACCAAGAACAAGTCGCTGCAGGAGATCCAGAACGAACTGAACGGCAAGAAGAAGCCGAAGAACCGCAACGCGAACCGCTCGCTGCAGATGGAATCGCTGACCAACCCGTACAATAACGAAAAGAACGCCGCGATTGTTTGATGATATTATTATTTATGCGATGACATTATTTCTATTTAGTTTAGGCGTATTCGGTACACACATTTGTTACGCGGATACACATTTATTTGTGCGTGTATATTGTATAATACAATGTGTACCGTGTGTTCGGTCTGATGAAAGGGGAGTGCGGGGGTTTAGAAACGAAAAATAAAAAAACCTTTTTACAAACCTCCGAATCGCTGTAACTGTAATATATCAATTATATAAAAAAAAAAAAAAACCGTGCGACAAACAAACAACTATATCGTATTCAATCAAAATACAAACCAAACACGTTTTTTATTTTTAAACAAAATTTTTAACGCGATATTAAATGTTTTTTTTTTTTATTATTATTTGTTGTGTGCGTTTTTTTTTCCTATCTGTTCGAATCAAATGACTTATCATATAATATAATTTTTTTTTTTTTTTTTTAATATTAAATATACATTTTTTTTTTTTAGATTATATTATGTACTATCGTATTGTAATTTTTTGTCTTTAATAATTTTTAGTGAATTATTCGAGAGTTTGCAATAATTTATTTTTTTTTTCTTAATCACGCCGTGTATTTTTCGACATTTACGCATTCCACATATTTTTAATACGGTCGTACATGAATTTTGTTTTTTTTTACAATTACGATTCGTATAATATGTATTTTTAAAAAAAAAACAGTTCGACTGGTGCTTACCCCCGAGTAGTACGCATTGTTATAATTATTATTGTACATTAGTGGCTGTCGCGTGTCCATTCCCGATCGTATTTTACATTATCTCCTGTTCGGAACACGATAATAATAAAAAAAAAAAAAAAGTCACTCGATTTGCCGACGAACATTTGAACACGAAAAACGTGTTCCGCTCAAAATTCGCGCGTAAAATAGTAATAATAAAAAAAACCCATGTATATTGCAGAATCTCACGGCGGCCGCGGCGCACGAATACTGCAGAAAACCGATTTGTTATCATTTTCGATTCGAAAAATTAGAAAATTAAAAAAACTCTAAAAACCGTTTCCCTTCTCCCTTCCCTCCGACTCTCGAGCGTCCCCCTCGGTACTTTTTACTAACGTGTCGTCGTCGGTTCGAAGCCGAACCGGGACGCCGTGTTTCTGCCTTCTCGCACACGTCGCAAAGTTTCGGTTTTTATTTTCGTCCACCCATTCCCCCCCGCCCTCCTCCCCCCGTAGAAACTTTTGTAAGTTTGCAACATTGCTCAAACGTACCTACGATTATATTATAATAATTATAAATATAATTTTTTTTTTTTTTTTTTTTTTTATTTTAAATATTTAACATTATACGATTCCATGTCAATTCAAAGCGCACACGATATTATTGTTCGTTCAAAATTTCATAAATATTTTTGTGTATATTTTTTTTTTTTTTTGGTCTTAATTTCACAAATGTTTTAATGAATACTATTGTATTATAATCCTTGCGAATTATTATTATTATTATTAATATTAATATTAATAACACTGTAATATATTTAAGTGTATTTGTACGACCGGCGACTACGGAAAAAACAAAAAAACAAAATATTATAACAACGATCGTTCGTCACAGCCTCCGCCGCCGCGGTCTTCCTAATATACACGATTTTTATTTTGTAAATCATCGCTGTTAAAAAAAAAAAAAACACCGGGGAAAAATATTTGTATTTTCCATCGAGCAAACGCCAACGGCACCTGAATATTATGGTTGTTTTTTTTTTTTTCTTTTTTTCTCGTAGTTTTTTCCTCTTCGAAGACATTTTTTAAACGCCGAAAAAAGACACGGTGGCGTACCGTTTAATTCGGAATTGCGCACGCTCAAGTTACGCGTATACGTATTGAAAGAAAAAAAATTTAAAAAAAAAAAAACCGTGTTCGATTCGTACAATAATTATTGTACGTCTTGTTGGGCTCGTAGCCGACCGATCGCGCGTATTGGCGTTTCGCAGAATTATTATACCGTATGATTACCGGTCGATTACCGTAATATTATTGTAACGTGTCGAAAATAGCGTTTAAGATATTTTATCATTTGTACATAATACATAATATTATATATACACATTTTTTTTTTTTTTTTTCTAGCTATTAGTAAAATATAATAATATATTATATATTAATTATTAATGAATGAATTATACATGTTTTATTAGGAAAAACAATTTTAGCGCGTTAGTAATTTAAGTAGAAAACAAATTATTAATTGTATTGAAATTATTAATGAAATAGGTAATAATCGTAATTTTTATTATTATTAGTATTAAAACATGTAGCGCTGCGTGCACATGTACACGCGCCGGACGACCGCCGAGACATACGGAAAATATTATAGATTCTAATACATACGCGTATTTTTAATAATTATCGTTATAATTCTATTCTATTCTATTATATATTATGATAATAATAATTAAATTATTAAACATATTTTTTGATATAAAAACCCGTTTTTCTATATTATTATCATCGTAGTCTCGTTGTCTCATTATTAGGCGTTAAGTATCATTTGCCGTATAAGTCTTGAGAATACAAGATACGGTAAAAACACGCTTAAGCAGACTACTCAGTACTCACTTGGTTTTGGTTTTAGATAGTAAAAGCATCTATTATGAAATCGATAGAGAACAAAATACGGGGGGAAGGGAAAGACGTTTAAAAAGTTTTAGTGATTTAAAAAAACGCTTAAAAAGTCGTTATTTATAAACGGTAAATTTACTGTTATATTCGGAGAAAATAGGAAAATTGGCAACGTCTTGCCCTTCGGACTATTCTTATTTTTCGATTTTATATAATAGGTGTTTTTTTACTCTAAAACCAAAATCAAGCGAATTCTGTGTAGTCTACGTAAGCATGTTTCAACTTGATTGTAAAACGGAAATATTAAATGCATGTGTTAGCGTCCTTTGATGTGGTTAAAATACATAAAACAAAATAATATACAAAGGGACAGTTCAAAATGATATTCAGTTCCTACAAAGTTTTCGTTACATTCGTAGTAAATCTTGGTCGAAATTTTAGCTTAAATTTTTAGATTGTACATTTTTAAAAGAGATGTTACAAACTGTTCGATTTTCAGACTGAACCAAACCAAATATACTCAATAACTCGGTTAAAAAACTCAATCTATTCAGCGTTATCACCAATACTGTTACGAAAAAGGTTTAATGTTCGGTTCGAGTTCGATAAAATATTTGGAAAGTTCGATTCGATTTGACCTTAATAATCAAGGTCTTCTTCAATCTCTAATTGTTATATTTACAAAATGTTTTACAATATTTGAAAATACTGAAACAAAATACCCTCTAAAAGCTAATGTCATATAATTACTCTCCGTGGCGCCAATATCAGATTTTAAATACTGCCTCTCATTCACCCAAATAATAGGCCTTAGTCTCTCTAAAATACAACCAAATCAAGCCTTTTCAAGCGCAAGCCTTATCAAGTAAAAAAAGGCTAAAATGCCGTGTATTTATTGGAAAATTTTAATACTGAAATGTTTTATTTTTCAAATACTCCTTTATTAACTTATAGTAATACATACATCATTATACTTTTATATTACTTTTTGTTATGAGCTTCACCGATCTTCATGGCGAAAACAGTACCATCGTGTTGAATATAATTTCCAAAGAGTATTTTTAAGAGTTTTTTTTTTCGAGTTTTTTCCGTTAATATTTGCTTTATTGAAGAACACGCACAAAATCCTGAAGCCCACACGTTGTGATTGGTTCGCTAGCCGCTAAATCACAAAAGAGGTGATTCTGATCCGTTTCTGCAATATTCATTTATGATTTGTTAACCATAATTTCGGCTAAAATCTATAGAACCAATTATAATTTATATCCACCACAAACGCGCTCTCTAACTTTGTTGCACCCCTGACAACCGCTCGTTTCGCCAACCAAAATCGGTTTTTTCTTTCGTGTTTCACAAAGGTTAGGCGCGCTGAGGTGAGGGGAGCAGAGGTAAAGTTAAACGTATACCGTAAGTACGGTTTGCGTTTTCGAATTCGAGGTTCGATAGAAGAACAAACATAATATCGACAACAATAAACATTTATAATGAAACCAAAAAAAAAAAAAAAATTTAGCAACGATATCGTAGAAACTTTGTCGCGTCTTACCTATCGGTCGGGGGTCAGAATAGAGATTGCTGACGACATATACTTCCCGTAACACTCGTCGATCGTCTTCATGGCGCGATATCTGGCCACGTCGTCCGTCCGCCGGACCACCGCCCTTAAGTATTTCGACATGTACTCCAAGAAACTTTTCGCGTCGCCGGCCGCGTAATACTTGTTCATTTTGTCCAAGTATCTGACGCCCCGCCAATACTTGCCGGGCCTCAGATACAGCGCCAATCTCCGGATTACGTTCGTCTCGTCGTTCTGCTCTCGGATATCCGTCATCGACGTCACTCTGTTCCCGGGAGACGTACCTGCAGTATTATACAACATACAATTTCAATCGAGAGTATAGGCATGAGTCAAGTGGGGTAGGGACGCTTAAACTCTCCCAAGCTCTTATTTAGCATTCTTGAAAACAGAAACTCATTTTTTTTTTTTTTTTTTAATATTTCTTCCTTTATTTTTTACGTTCGTTTTTTTTTTAATCTGACGGTTTTATCAAAAAGATTAATGGATTAATCGTGACTATCAACAGCGAGAAATCGGTGCTCGTAAGACCGTCTTTAAACCAATAATACTGGATCATCAGATCATCCCACAGAGCGACTCGGCAAAATATCTAGGAGTGCACTTTGACTCTCGACTCCACTGGGAACGCCATATTCGTAAAAAAAAAAAAACTGCGATAATTAAGAAGATAATGCGACAACTATGTTGAATGCCCGGAATGCATTCTGAATTAAATCTTACATGCAAACATCTACTGTGCGTAATGATAATTAAACCAATATGGACTTCTGGAACATAACTGTGAGATTATGTCAGCAAATCCAAATTGTGATTAGTAAACACTGCCAAAATTGCTGTGTCCGTACCATTGTCTCAGCTTACCGGTATGACAGAAACGATATTATCTACCGAGATATGATGATCGACTCCGTCCAGACCGATATTAGCGAGTTTGCTCGCGAACAAGAGACGATGATGTGGATCAACACACCAATCCAACAGTAACTCAATAACTCGACAACTCTTAAGACTCTTGGCGTCTCAAACGCAGAAGACAATATGACTTAATACAAGATTCTTAGACTAAGGCCGGAGCTACTCCATTGAGAGTGAGGCTCCACATATGTTTATTTTCCTTTTTATAATATTAATGCACCACAAGTATTCATGTACACCTTTGAAATGTATTATTAAAGATCTTTGGTATGATTATCATACACGAAATCTTCGTTGCACCTCCCCTCCCCATTAATCGGCTCCCGACTAATTTTTAATCCGTGATCTTTAGACTCCGGTTTAAGATAGTACTTATCTGCAGATATCTATTAAAAAAATGGTTATAATATTGTAATCAAATACGTTAGTTTTATACAAAAAATTATTCTAAATGTTGTTAAAAGTTATTTTTCGTTTATGTGCCTTTTAAAAATTTGCCTAGGATATGATGGAGCAACGGCGTTTCATACATTTATCGATATTTGATTTTACTTGTAGTTTTCCTTATATATGCGCATAACTGTCAATTTTGTTCCTATAGTTTTTGTTGATTTCTGGGTTACCTTCGCAGCATGGGCCAAAATATGACTAATAACACTCGGCTTAGAATCGTTTTTCGTTATCAATGGTTTATCGTTGCCATTGCTTAACGATATAAATTAAATTATTCGATATATTCTTGCTTCTAATTTCCCTTCTAAAATTAACCCATCAGTAGTGATTAGCCTTTTTTTTTGTTTTTCGTGAGCATCTTTTATGATTACACAGTAATAATAATAATACAATTTGCTATAAGGACCATTAAATTTAAATATTTATAAGACTATCAATTTTCATTTGTTAAAAAATGTCATGCTATGTGACCATCACTAAAAGTCTTGTCTAAAACTCGTTATGCGTACTACCATTTTATAATTTACTTATTCCTTTTTTTTTTATTATTATTATTTCTAAGAAATTAAATTTAAAAAGAGCTGTTATTTGATGAACTATTGATGACAAATTACGATTTTAAGTGAAGTTCGGTTAAACATAATTTGAAATACCGTACATTTTACGATTTCTAACACAATTTGAACTTTAAACGTGTTGCTATATAAAAAAAAAAAATTATTACATCAGGCTGAACATTTTTTGTGACCATTTAATTTTCAACGAAATTCGTGTTAAACTGTCAAGTATTTCTGTTTGGTGCAAACGATATTATTTATACAAAACTAAATCATAACTGAAAAAAACCTTGAAAATGCTAAATGTCAATAAACGGCACAAAAATCGCCAGAACGTTTAATCACACTTAAAAAATATTAATGTTCGTATTCTGTGAAAATTGTACGGCTCCAAAATTGTGTTTAACTTAAATACAACAAAACACAATCTAAGAAAATAATAAATACGTGTTATTTATGTAAATTTTCCCGTTTTTATTTTTCTACAATATTTCCCAGGGATTAGGAAAACTACAAGGGAAATAAAAAAAAAAAGATCGCTGAACAAGATTTCTGGTTGTGAAAACCGTGTACGGACATGAAAAACGAAAAGCACGCACAGCATAACCAACAATGCATTACTCGTTGTGCTCGGAATCTAGAAACATTTTTTAAAACAATGTTATAATCGATTCGTTTTGTTTTGACGGAAATACAATAAAATAATATAACCGTTGGACGGGTGTTGTCCGTTCGTATAATTATACGCATGACTCCGTTGACTTTCCAATGTTCATTAAATTACCTATTATCATCATTTCCCGTCGTTTTGGTGAAAAAAAAAAAAAAAACCTAAAAATTATTCGAATTACTCCACCTCTACGGCTGGTGCCGTCATTCGAACCGTTGAAAAAAATAAATAGGTTATTATTTACTTACAAATTATATGTATATGGTTTACACGCCGCTCAACTAAATTACCTATGTAAATACGGCCGACGATTGTTTTTTATTTTCTTGACGGGCGCACTAATAATCGAGAAAAAAACGACAATAATTTACGGACGCACTTAAATAAATTGCCCGACAATTATTACCTACGCGCGCGTACAATTAAAACGATAATACCTATAGAGTCCTCTCCTACCAACCCTCCCCCCCTTCCCACCCTCCGCCCGGCAGTGCAGTTTAAGCTGACGACCGACATTACGTTTTACGGCTCGTCCGTGCGCGAGGCGTACGCGTCTAGACGAACGATAAGCGCAGTAAAAAAGCGCATAGGGATGTTCCGGGACGATCGAATTGAACCTGAATTATTTAATGGTCGAAAAAGAGGCGGTTTCCGTTCGGGCGAATCAACCCAAAACCGCGTATCGTCCGGGCTAAGTTGTACATATCATTTGGACGAAATTTATACGGGCCTTTAATACGTCTAATGCGTCGTTTGGGCGAGCTTTTGTACTATACCAGTTGATCCGTTTCAGCGGGTACGCTCACCGTCTCGGAAAGTATTAGCGTTTCTCGAAATTTATTTTCTAGAACATTTAACGAACGAGCCGGTGTACAATTTTACGTTTACGTTATTTTTTGTCCCCCTTATTTTTAGGGATAAAACCACCGTCTACTTTTTATTTTTCAAACATCGACCTGTATTCGAATATCCATAAATAGACGGAGTATTAGTTAAAAAAAAATTCGAGTGTGGACATTTTTGATTTAAGGGTGACAAAAAATAACCTAAACATATAATTGTAGAGTAGCTTGTTTATTAAATTGTCTAGAAAACAAATTCCTAAAAAAACTAATACTTTCCGAGATAATAAGTGTGGGTACACTCAAATAGATCAACCGGTTTGAAGTATAAAATATGGGATTTTTAATCATTTTTTCAATATTTGGTCTCACTGTCTTACAAATATAAGCTTCCCGCCATTTTATGTATTTAATTATCGTCATGTTTTCTGAAGTCAAAATTTGAACAATACATATAATGATATATATGAATGTAAATACACAGTTTTACAAAACACAAAAAATTAAAAATAAATTTAATTCAATTCTCTCGAAAATTCCTTAGTTTTTTCTTACGTAATGTTACCTATCTTAACCAATTCAATCTTTAAGTATTCATATGGTAACGTACACCTTTTTTTTTTTTTTTTTACAAAATATTTGAATATACAAATATTAAAAAATCAAAAAATTATTTTAAAAAGGAATATTAACCATAATTAAGAAACCACAAAAAAACAAATTTTACAATATCGTACAACGTACAAAGATAAATTCGCCCATTATCGGCTCGGTAGCCGCGAGTGACTGGAAAGACGCCGTCCAGGTCGGCAGCGCTCCGCGGCCCCCGGATCACTAGTTCGCGCCCGCGGATGTGTCGGTACGCGTGACACAAGTCGAACGACCGCCAACGTTCACATTAAACCTGGCGTTTGCTGCCACAAGCGCGGTGGCTCTTTTCGAAAGGAAATCGCGTTTGAAAATTCATTGTTCGATTTCCCGAGCGGGTTTTTATTATTATTATTATTTTTTTTTTCCATAATAATCGGCGAAAAAACGGCAAGATTTACGCGAATACGCATTGACAAAAAATTTCGCTCGTGTTTCGTCAACGACGGTTCGCTCATAGATGTGAATAAAATTCCCGTCCGTATCCTACCTTCCCAACGTATCGCCTACAAAACAGTGGCTCGTCTGTCGCGCGAGCGAAGCGCGTCGGCCTTTTTACATTTCTAGCCGAATATCCCTCGCCGCCCAGACGAAACGTCCCGATCGCGAAATATTCGTGGTTCGCGTTTTGGACATCCGTACCCCGCCGTCGCCGCGGCACGTGCACCGGAGAACTGTCACTGTCCCGCCCGGGGCACCATCAACGGTACCGTAACCGAACACGGACCGGCGGACTCGCCAATGCGACACTCCGATCGGCTGTGCATTTCGCATTACGCGATCACCGGATATTCAACGTCACTAATACCGTCGACCGTACCCGCCCGGCCGGCAGTTTTAAAACGGCTTATTTTTATTATTATTATTATTTTTTTTTTATCGATATTATCAACATTTACACACGCGCCGCGGTCGACGGGAATCTCCGTTGGAAACGCCGACGTGTTTATCGCCGCTCCCCCTCCTCCCCCTCCCCCGACAATAAACATTGTTTTTACGCATTTCGTACACCGCGCTTCTCGACGCGCGTACCGTCGCTCCGTATTATCCGTCTGCGCCCGCGTTCTGCAATGACGAGCGCGTTGTTCCGACGACTGTGCGCGAGATTCCTCCGGCCGGCCCGGCCCCGGGAACCGTCGCCGGGACTGCGTAACGCCTTCGCCCGCAACACCGATTTCGGCGCGGGCAACTGTCATTGCTGTTGCGCGAGCACCCGCGCCGTGGTGCCCCGGTACGGCGAACGCGTCAAGACGCCGCCGATCCGAGTGACACTGGTGGACGGCCACGGCCCGGGGCCCGCCGTTTGCGCGGCCGTCCGGGCGGTTCTGAAAGCCACCGCCGCGCCGGTCGAGTGGGACCGGCAGCCGGTCAGCGTGCACCGCGACCCGACCACCGGCCGGCCGATCGTGAACGCGGAGCTGTTGGAGTCGGTCGCCGAGACCCGCGTGATTTTGCACGGCCCGGTGCCGGACACCGCGAGCGACGGGTCGCAAGTGTCCACGACGCTGACGTTGCACAAGGCGTTGCGGGCGTCCGTCGGCGTCCAGCCGTTCGCGTCCGTCGACGGTCACCGTCCGTTCGGGCACGTCCGCATGGTCAACGTTCGCGACAACGTGTCCGGCGAGTATTCCGAAAACGAACACCTCGTCACGCCCGGTAAAGACAACAATACCATCGTCGATACAATTTTAATTTTTACCGTATGCGCTCGTAAACGCGCGTTTCACAACCCCGAATATATTTCGATGAGATAACGATTTCAATAAGCCGATAATATTACGTTTGTTTGTTTTTTTTTTTTCTATGCTTGTTTATTCCTTTTTTTTTTTTGTTCGCTTTAATAAGAGTAAGTTTGGTGCGTGCGAAACGAAAAATTTATTATTATTACGAGTACAATGTCCAAACGTAGGAAGACCGTCAAAATCTCGAAACATAGTCAACGGAATGTATAGAAGAAAAATTGAAAGACCGCAAACGGCATTGCGGCACTAGACTTGTCACCAATCGCGGGTTTATCGTCGGTTACAGATATAAATTATGTAACTCTATGCATCCCACCTTCCCAACTGCCCGTGTACCCAGATGCAGTGGCCGCACCCGTCTCCGGTATCGGTTCTTTTTAAAAGTGTTTCGAGTACACACTCGGGGATAAAATGTCAATACCGTTTTCGCAAGGGCCATTAAAAAAAAAAAAAAAATCTGTCTTAAAATAATGAGGACGGGTGCAGCCACTGTTGTAGGCGGAAAGTCGGGGAGGTAAGATACGTTGCTAACGAAAAAACAATTCTGAGCGATGTTCGGTTGACGATATCGCTTTATCAACAATCTATACGTCATACGGTAAAATAATTACATATTACACATTATATATTTTTTCTAATAATATTTGTTGAATATTATATCTATTTTCCCGTTTTCTCGGTTTTTTCCGTTTGTCGAGAAAACTCCCGGGAAAATCAAAAAACGACCTCCCTAATGTACCTCCCCAATCAAATTTCCTCTCAGAAGAAACGCTACACTTGCACACTTGTAAATCGAAGTGATATTTCTGGTAGAAAAATTGTTCAAAGATAAAAAAAAAAAAATATATATATACCGTAAAACTATACGAGCTCGTAAGCTTCTTTGCTCCGCTAAGGATCTAAAACTAAATAATTCATACCGTGGTAATTTAGTGGATAATTTTAAAGAGTCGGCATTTGCTTTTTACATTGCACCGTAAACTATTATATAGGCGTGGTGCAATCGATCAAGACGGTGACGCGACAGCATTCCGAGGCGGTGGCCCGTTTCGCGTTCGAATACGCCGTGGCCAATGGCCACTATCACGTCACTGCCCTGCACAAGGCGAACGTGATGCGCATGTCGGACGGTACGTTCTTAAAGGCTTGCCGGAGCGTGAGCACCGACTACCCGGACGTGGATTACCGCGAGGAGAAACTGGACAAGTTCTGTTTGCGGGTGACCAACGACCCGTGCCGGTACGACATGCTCCTGACGCCCAGCCTGTACGGGGCGATTGCAAGCGCGGCGGTTTCCGCGCTGGTCGGCGGCCCGGCCACGGTCCCGTACATGGCGTTCGGGTCCGACGTGGCCGTGTTCGGGACCATGTACGACGGACCGGCGATCTGCCGGAAGGACGTGATCTCTGAGCCCGTGATTAACCCGACGGGGATAATCAGGTCGGCCGCCTGGATGCTGGGCCACCTGGAAATGCCCGACAAGCGGCTGCTTATCGAGACGGCACTGAACGAAACCATCCGGCAGGGCGTCAAGACCAGAGACATGGGCGGCACTGCGTGCTGCGAAGAGTATACCGACGCCATTGTACACAATATTTCTCGATTGAGTTGACTATCAACACTCACAGAGGCCAACGATTTGATCGCGTATTAATACGGCGGGAGAGGAGGGCGGTGTTCCCGGTTATAATACACAGCCGGGATCAACTCTCCGAACTTATTAATACTGTTGTCGTTAGTCTGTAATATTGTTAATTTGCTAATAAAAATCAATTTCCACGTTGACATCAACAGTAGTGAATAACGAGTGTGTTAGGATTAGTATTTAACGCTACGGACTGTACCGCTCTCTTATCACTCTTATCGCTTTAAAATCACTCAACATCTCACTCGTAAGCCAGTGTCTTGTTATGTCCCTCAATTCAATAGCGATTATTTGAAAAACGAACCAGTGAGACGTTTAATGACTCCTCCTTTTCGTTTTTAACTGTTCATTTACTCTGATTGTTTTGTATTACTCTAAATTATTAATTCTATTCTGTGTGTCTTATTGTGTTCAAAGGATACCATCCGTTAATCGTAAAAACAAATTAAAACAATCACATTATTATCCTCGATTACCACACAGTTTTCAAGAAACCGACGGTCAAATTTTAATCGTCGGTTATCTGCCAGCGTGTGTACTGCTAGCGCTTTGGCCTGTGTTTGGACTAGTACGGTCCGACCAGTGGCGCACACAGAGGAAAGGGGGGGGGGTGGAGGTTAAGGGCTCGGAATCCGCCCTGAAATGTCTTCCTCCACTACATTTGTTTTAAATCGAGGTTTATATTCAACATCGTAATATCGTATAGCACAGAATTAAATACAATTTAATTTCGTCAAACATTATTTATTCAATAATAATGGTGACAGTACTGTACTTATAATATGTGTTCTCCCCTATCTAGGAAATCGTTATAAATAAAACCCCTCTCAAAAAAAAAATCCTATGTTCGCTAGGGTTCGACCGTCAAAGACTGAACTCTGTCCTTATTTAGATAAATTTCGGTTAAATCAATCAAAACGGTGTTAAACCAGACAAATTCGGTTAAATTAAAATTGTATATAGATTACTATTATATAATATGGACCCATTCGGTTAACATCGGAAACTTTGACTTTTGCAAATTGTTTATGGAAATATCTCTGGGAGAAATACAATATTGAAAATTTATTTTAAAATTGGGCGATTCAAAATTCCGAATTTCATATTCACCAAGCCATTCGATTTTCTGCGTCATACACATTAATAATACGTTTTATAATACGTTATAATTTTATCAAATTCAATAGTTTTTGTAAATACGACGCGTGTACACGATTATAATGATTATTTGACGAGCCTTTGGCGAGTTCTAAATATTCACGAAAATTCACAACGGTTTTTAACCACATAAATTATTCAATTGTAAGCGGGAAGGAAAAATAAAGTTTTCAAAACTTTTAAATTAGGTTTATTTTTCCGACCATGATATTATTGAGACGTCTTTTTGAACCGAATATACCAGTTCTCTATTGCATTCAATTGCTTCAATTCAAAAGATGTCAAAAGTGACGTTTTCGAACCGACCATTGGCTGTTTTTGATCCGAGTGTAGTTTTCTTTTACTGGAGTGTAATTCGACTTTACCCAAATTTTGAATGGCTATCAATATCATTCGATTGTGTCCGCAAAGTCAGGTACCCACCTATAAACCATTTGGGCATTTTGACCGTTCTTAATATCATTACAGATTAAACATTTAATAGTAAATATAAAATTAATATTCAAAAACTATCGAAGGAAATAGATACGATATGGGAATGTAATGAAATCAATGACAGTCTGTTTTGTACTAAATTTATTAAATTGTATGCGACATTCCCGGACTATCCCAGATTTTCCCGGTAAGTTTTAGCTCGGTAATACCAAAGTTATCATTTACGAATATCGAAAAGAAATTTTAATTCCAAATTGTTATATCGTTATATGTACCTGTATGTATACTGTATGATACGCAATTAAAACAACGACACGCTTCTTGTGGATCGAATGTAGTAATTTTTTTTTTCGATCAGAAAAACAACAATACCCATATGATAACACGACGGACCTTGTACTCTATTCTGTGACGTGTCCAGTGAGTGACGTTGAGGGATATATATTTCTGAAACGGCTTAAAAATACAACAGCCGTCATATGAGTAGGGATTGATTTAGTAATGTTGAAACGCGTACCATATTTCGGCCAAGTTACAAAGGAAAGCTCGATTTATTGAATACAAATTCGGTTTGAATAAAAGAAAATCGGATTCGGTTATTAAACTTCCATCATTGTCGGGCCGTTGGATATATCGTTGGTCAGAAGAAGAGTTTACGACGCACTCGTGATTATTATTCACCACATCCATCCTGGGGCATTTCTTAGGAGGTTTCCAGTGACCAATCAGATAGCACACAATAAAGTCCATTGGCCAATTAGATTAAGATTTTGCTTACTGTGTGGCCACAAGGAAACGAACGGTAAATCCGGAAACATAATTGATCAGTAGATTTTGTATCTATGTTTAAACACATTTAAATACGCGCTAATATTTAGAAATATTTGAATACAGGCCAGAAAAAAAAAAAAAAAAAAAAAACCCCGTCAAATTAACATGTAATAATTAATAGACGCCATAAAAAAAAAAAAACGACTATTCGAAAACGATTAAATTGCACAACCATGCACACGGGCAACGAAGATTGTGTTGTTTATTATTATTTTAGAATATAAAATTCAATTGCGTAACCGTATACACGGGCGGTAAAAATTACGTTTTTTTTTTTTTTTATTATGATTTTAGAATATAATATAACCGGGTATCCGTGGACCGGTTCCGTTAGCTCGTCCGTCAGTTTTATCTCCTAGTGCTTTTTTTTTCGTTTCCACGCAGTATAATATTATGTTCGTCAGTGGCCTATTGCGCAATCTAATATCCGAGAACGAGTGCGAATTTTACACCGCTACATCGCCGTGCTAAAATAACCATTAATTATTCGTCTATTACACTTTGGACTTGATACAGTACACTATATGGGTTTGCGAGTTCAATACGGGAACGAATTTCGCTAGCGATGATTACGGCGATTTTATCATTACGACGGTCGGCATTATCAGCGGCGTGTTGATAAATACATTTTTGGGCGTACGCGCGATTTCGTGCTATGTTTCGTCGTAAAAATAAAAACTAAAAATATTTCCTCCGTTATTTGCTCGACAAATATTTAAATATACTTAACGGACGCTGCGAGGGACTCCAGTCCGATTCAATCACAAACCTGTGTAACGTGTTAGTTTTCAAACGGATCGGATAATATTTCTACGGAGTTCAAATAGATGGAGTATTAGAGTATTGGTTCGAATAAACCTTGGTGTTCAAACTTTTGATTTCCGTCGACTTGTCAACGAGATATTCTACTTTTAAGTCAGGGAGGCATTAGTGGAAATTTATTTAATCTAATGTTTCATCAGTTTATGGAATTTTTAATATAGGTTGCCATTTGAAAATCAAAAGCAGGTAGTTGTTTCACCCTCGAAAATTAAGGAGACGAAAAATAATGTAATTGTTAAATTTCAGAATAGCTCGTTTCTTGAATTGTAAAAAAAAAAAAAAAAAAGGTAAATACCCAGGGATATCGATCGTTTCCGCTTAAATGGATCACTCTGTATATATATGTATACTTTTACTTGGGGCTTCATCACAACATATTATGTTTTCCTCGGTAGCGTGCCCAGGAGGAGGGGGGTTAGGGGTATTATCCCCACCCTATTGGCTTAATAAATACAACAAATATGAGTGTTTATTTAGTAATTTTACCTTGAAATTTTATATTTTAGCCGAGTTACAGGAATACAAGGTAAAGCTATTTTTACGCTACACTTGTAAGGATAAATCGAACATGTATTTTACAAATGAATACGTATAATGTTTATTTATTATTATGTTTATATATATATTTTTTATTTTTTTTTTTTTGTAAACAAATCGGTCGAATAGAAATAATCGAACGGGTCAAAATGACGTCAGAGGAAAAACGATACGAGAACAATTATATTACATGCACCGACCAGGGTGGTCCGACGAACGAATATGGCTCGCGGAGTCAACAATAAAACAACGTTTTCAAACATATCTAAAAACCACCCCGATACGTCTCCCATCTGTCCTTTGCTTCATCCGCGTTATTCGGTTGGAATTTCCATTTTTCGAACGGAGCGTTTTTCATACTTGTTGGTAAGATGTTATGGCAGGACGTTTCCGGGCATACGATAAAATAGGTTTCGAACCGATATCGAGGGACTTCCACGACGAGTGTTAGAGCCTTTCAAATCGATTTGGTTATATATACTGGGTTGAGCCCAGTTTTACTGTTACCACTCGTATATTCTATTTGAGGTTACTTTTTTATTTCCCCGCGAAAACCGTGAAAAACATAGGGAAAACGGGTCATTTTCGTTAAACGATTGTTTTCAATTCGTAAATATTACGGCCTTTCGAAACTATGTGTAACCGAACTTCGCTCAGAATCGTTTTTCGTTAGCAATGGCTAATCTCTGCGAACAGATATACACTACATTTTTCCTCTGCCTCCTCAACTTCTCACCTACAATAGTGGCCCACCCATCGCGCGAAGTGTGTCCGTTTGTATTGAATTTATTAGTTTACTAATTAGATGAAATTATCTGTCGCTTTACGGTCGTATTTTAGACATTACGGTCTGACCCCCTAGAGCCATAGACTTAAACGTCTCTATACGCTGTTCTGTAAAATTAAACGCGTATCGATAGTATCATATTATCTGTATGTATTATTATACTTACAAGTATTGTCGTAAATTCATTCGAATATATTGTAATCCGTTTGACTCGCGAACAAAATAATAAACGTAACAATCCACTGATTTCAACGCGAGAAACAATTCATTTCCGTAAACGCATTTGCCATAGATGGAAAAATATTAGGTTTACGCATAGAGAGAATTTCATCAGTCCGGTGATAACAATATACGTGAACATAATATTTCCATGGAGGGCGAACGGGTGGCGTATGCG